GCATTCAGGGGAATGACAGCCCCTTCATACTCCAGACTTTTTAACAGAAATAACTCAATAATTACTCCGGATTAAATCCAGCTTTCATCCCTGAGAATCAACCCGAGGATGATTGGTCCACGTGCCCACCCGCAAAGTCCCGGAGCGGGAAATGCTCATAACCGGGCTGTGGCGGTGCAGTAATTGGGAGTATTTGAAAGTAAACTTGCAGTGTTGTACCCGCAACCGGGAAGTTCGGCCCGCCCTGCGTTTTTCTCGGTTGCAGGGCACGGAATGACTAATGTGTGGCGACGCTCTACAGTGTAATGAGTTTATGTTCTCTGTGTTGGTCTCAGCCACAGCCTGCGCTCGCTGGCCGTCATAGCCGTAGATCTCGGCAAACCTCAACTTGTTCCCGTTCCTCCCAAGGCCCATCTTGCTCTCCCATCTCCTCTCCATTCTTCTCCTCATACTAACGAGGTTGTCCTCTATATTCCACCCTCTCCTCTCCCCCAGCTACTTTGATCAATAGAGAGTGCTTTTGCTCTCTGATGAGTCCCGTTTTGTTACAGGTGCTACGGCAATTCTAGTCGACACCTGTGTTTTTCTCGTTCCCCTACAAACCGTGCGTGTTCCTTTCATCCGCCTCGAGAAAAATCCCGCAGCTTAAGCAACCGGTCCCCGTCAAACTAACTTGCGATTTCTGCCTGCCATAGTATTCGAGATAACTCGCCGTGTCATATATCTCGTTCGCCTAATCGTCGTCGAGCTTATAGCATATTAAATTTCAGCTCGCATTACCCCATAGAAAATCTGTCGCGATGTTTCGTTCCACTGCCGTAAAGGCCACCAGCGGCCTGCGCAGTCCGGCCTGCTCTTCTTGCAAGAGATCCCTCTCTCTTGCTGCTACTGCCAGATCTGCTGCCAACCGCTCAAAACTTGGCCTGACCACCAGACGTCCTCTCGCTCTCGTCGACCGGTTGTCCAAGAGGCACTATGCTGCGCCCGCTGAGGGTGTGGTAAGCAATTCCCCTGCACATGTGTCGTCCACGCTTTTTGGCTTGGTTTCATCTCCGGTCTGAAAGCCAGTTCCGACTGACACTCGCTTTTTTGGCGATTCTGTAGGATGCCAATGACTCTTTCCTCTCCGGAAACACCGCCAACTACATCGATGAGATGTACGTCGCATGGAAGAGAGATCCCTCCAGCGTGCACATCTCATGGCAAACGTATTTCAAGAACATGGAGGAGGGCAACATGCCCGTCTCCCAGGCTTTCCAGCCTCCTCCGACTCTCGTCCCTACCCCTACCGGTGGTGTTCCTCAGGAGATGCCCGGCGCAGGCCTGTCTTTCGCGGCCGGTACCGATGTCACGAATCACCTGAAGGTTCAGCTCCTGGTCCGCGCCTACCAGGCTCGTGGTCACCACAAGGCCAAGATCGATCCTCTTGGCATCCGCGGTGAGGCCGAGGCCTTCGGTTACAACAAGCCCAAGGAGCTCGAGCTGGACCACTACGGATTCACTGAGCGCGATCTGGACCAGGAGTTCAACCTTGGACCCGGTATCTTGCCCCGTTTCGCCACCGAGGGACGCAAGAAGATGACCCTGCGCGAGATTATCTCCACTTGCGAGAAGATCTACTGCGGCTCCTACGGTGTGGAGTACATCCACATCCCCGACCGTAAGCCCTGCGACTGGATTCGCGACCGCTTCGAGGTTCCCGAGCCCTACAAGTACTCTGTCGATGACAAGCGCCGCATCCTCGACCGCCTGATCTGGTCCCACAGCTTCGAGTCCTTCCTTGCGACCAAGTTCCCCAACGACAAGCGTTTCGGTCTGGAGGGTTGTGAGACCCTTGTGCCCGGTATGAAGGCCCTCATCGACCGCAGTGTCGACTACGGTATTAAGGACATCGTCATCGGTATGCCTCACCGTGGTCGTCTGAACGTCCTATCCAACGTCGTCCGTAAGCCCAACGAGTCCATCTTCAGTGAGTTCGCTGGTTCCGCCGAGCCCTCCGACGAGGGATCCGGTGATGTCAAGTACCACTTGGGTATGAACTTCGAGCGCCCTACCCCCTCGGGTAAGCGTGTCCAGCTTTCCCTGGTCGCCAACCCCTCTCACTTGGAGGCTGAGGACCCGGTCGTTCTCGGAAAGACCCGCTCCATCCAGCACTACAACAAGGATGAACAGAACTTCGACTCCGCCATGGGTGTGCTGTTGCACGGTGATGCCGCTTTTGCCGCCCAGGGTATCGTCTACGAGACCATGGGATTCCACTCTCTCCCCGCCTACTCCACCGGTGGTACCATCCACATCGTTGTGAACAACCAGATCGGTTTCACCACTGACCCCCGTTTTGCCCGCTCCACCCCTTACTGCTCGGACATTGCCAAGTCCATCGACGCTCCTGTCTTCCACGTGAACGCCGATGACGTTGAGGCTGTCAACTACGTCTGCCAGGTTGCTGCCGACTGGCGTGCCGAGTTCAAGCGTGACGTTGTCATCGACATCGTCTGCTACCGTAAGCAGGGTCACAACGAGACCGATCAGCCCTCTTTCACCCAGCCTCTGATGTACAAGCGCATTGCTCAGCAGAAGAGCCAGCTTGACAAGTACGTCAACAAGCTGATCGAGGAGGGTACCTTCACCAAGGAGGACATCGATGAGCACAAGAAGTGGGTCTGGGGCATGCTGAACGACAGCTTCGACCGCAGCAAGGACTACCAGCCCACCAGCAAGGAGTGGCTCACCTCCGCCTGGAACGGTTTCAAGACCCCCAAGGAGCTTGCCACTGAGGTTCTGCCTCACCTCCCCACTGGTGTTGAGGGTCCTCTGCTGAAGAACGTTGCTGAGAAGATCAGCGGTGGTGGTAGCCCCGAGGGCTTCACCCTCCACAAGAACCTCAAGCGTATCTTGGCTAACCGCAAGAAGGCTGTCGATGAGGGTCAGGGCATTGACTGGGCTACTGCTGAGGCTCTTGCTTTCGGCTCCCTTGTCTCCGAGGGTTACCACGTCCGTGTCTCCGGTCAGGATGTCGAGCGTGGTACTTTCTCCCAGCGTCACGCTGTCCTGCACGACCAGGAGACTGAGGGCACCTACACTCCTCTCCAGAACATCTCTGAGAACCAGGGAAGCTTCGTTATCTCCAACTCCTCCCTCAGTGAATTCGGAGCGTAAGTTTGAGCTTCTGCCTTTCTCCAGTGAATTAAAGCTAACTCTATTCCAGTCTTGGTTTCGAATACGGTTACTCCCTGACCTCCCCCAACGCCCTCGTCATGTGGGAGGCTCAGTTCGGTGACTTTGCCAACAACGCTCAGTGTATCATTGATCAGTTCATCGCTGCTGGAGAGTCCAAGTGGCTGCAGCGCTCTGGTCTGGTTGTTTCCCTGCCCCACGGTTACGATGGTCAGGGTCCTGAGCACTCCTCCGGTAGAATGGAGCGTTGGTTGCAGCTTTGCAATGAGGAGCCCCGTGTCTTCCCCGAGGGTGACAAGCTCGACCGCCAGCACCAGGACTGCAACATGCAGATCGTCTGCATGACCAGCCCTGCCAACCTGTTCCACGTTCTGCGTCGCCAGATCCACCGCCAGTTCCGCAAGCGTATGTAACCTACAAAATATCCCGTACAAGTCTAGTGCTAACTTTTGTGCCAGCCCTCGTGATCTTCTTCTCGAAGTCCCTGCTCCGTCACCCTCTTGCTCGCTCTGACATCGAGGGCTTCACCGGCGACTCTCACTTCCAGTGGATCATCCCCGACCCCGCCCACGGCAAGGAGATCGACGAGCCCGAGAAGATCGAGCGCGTCATCCTCTGCTCTGGACAGGTCTACGCTGCTCTTACCAAGCACCGTGAAGCCCACGGCATCCGCAACACCGCCATCACCCGTGTTGAGCAGCTGCACCCCTTCCCTTGGGCTCAGCTGAAGGAGAACCTGGACAGCTACCCCAACGCCCGCAACATCGTCTGGGCCCAGGAGGAGCCTCTGAACGCCGGTGCCTGGAGCTACACCCAGCCCCGTATCGAGACTCTGCTGAACGAGACCGAGCACCACAACCGCCGTCACGTTCTGTACGCCGGTCGCGCTCCCAGCGCTTCCGTCGCCACTGGTCTCAAGTCTGTCCATCTCAAGGAGGAGCAGGAGTTCCTCAACGATGCTTTCACCGTTCACCAGGAGCGCCTCAAGGGCGAGTAAATGATGTCGTTGTAAGAGTGTGTTTGGGTTGGGGAGTCAGCGTTGGCTCGTTCTGGTCTTCTTTGTATGATTTTCCTTTGTTCAGCAGCATAGTGTACGATGATTATACTACAGTTCATGCTTAAGTGTTTCCGGGCTTTGGGTCTCGTTTCTTTGCCACATTGTTTCGTGATCTAGCCTGCCGATACCTAGCATGTGCTTCGTGCACGCGTGTAAATTAAGAACGTTGATATAATTTCAGTTTCTTTGGTTGGCAATTGCACCGTAAGCGAGACTGTATACAAAGGCTTGTATGCTTTACACCTAAGCTCATTGACATCTAGTTCTTATAGCCAGAAAGAGTGGCAAAATCAACAATCACGGGGCAATGGCGCATCTGGGAGCGCGTCAGACTGAAGATCTGGAGGTGGCCGGTTCAAGCCCGGCTTGCCCCATCCTTTTTTCTCAATTCATTTTTGTTGTGGGTTGTGGATCTCCCGATATACACCAGTTGATAGCTCGAGTTGAAAGTTGAGATTCGTTTAATTGATATGTGACGTCACCGAAAGCTTATCAGCATGTCTTTGTCAGCCGAGATTCAGTGCCTGGCTCTGCAGGCACCAATCACCTGATGAATGATGGGCTCTGCCGGGTCTTTCTCCGCACTGCAAGTCTCCCATCGCTCCAACTCTCGTTTCCCACCCCCGATTTTTCCCTGTTTTGTCTGTCTGTCCATGTTCTTCCATCTGCTGAGCCATCGATCTCCCAGTATCTCTGAGTGCTTCTTGTTCCCTGATTGAGTCGGACTTGCTGTCCGACTTGTGTGCCTTTTCCTTCTTTACCCATCATGTCTGCCGTTGCCGTCAACTCTCAGGGTCAGAGCGCTCGTCAGTCAACGCGCCAGACCAGAACCAACCCATCTCGCACATCCAAGACATTGGGCCGCTCATCCTTCGCTTATGGTCATGGCTCCATGGCTGATACCCAGTCTGCGACCCCTGTCGCCCATGGCTTCTACCCTGCTCTCACCCATTTCACGGACGCCATTACAGCCCTCCCCAGGGAATTCCGTCGTCATAATTCGTTGCTCAAGGAGGTCGATGCGAAGGCTTGGGCCTTAGAGGATAATTTGCTCCAATTGCTGAGGTCCGCTTCGGAGTCGCAGCCTGTGCCGTACCCCTCTACTCCGGTAGGTAGTTTTGCTGGGCGCCCTGTTCGGGGAGATCTCTTATCCTTGGTGTGGGTCATATAGTGGTCTGCGGGGATAAGCTATCTACGATGGATTTTGGGCGGATATGAATATGAGCAAGTGCTGACGAGTTATCGTGACTAGATCCCCGAATCTCAGGAAAGCAAAGACCGCCGCATCCTGTTCCATCGTGTGCGCCATACGCTTACGGATCTGATGATGACCGCGGATGAGAAAAACCACGTTATCTCGAATGCGAACGACGAATTGGACCGTCAGCTCACTCGTCTTGATTCTATTTTCCCGTTTATCGCGGGGGAGATTAGCGATGAGGCTCGTCTGGGAAGTCTCACGCACTGGGCTTACTCGAATAGAAATGCCCCCAAGACAACTACTAATGAGCGTCCTCGTCGGGAGGCTGCGTCGACTAAGGAATTGGCGCATGCGATCCATGAGGCGGAGGCTGCTTCGCGGAGCGAGGCTAGGCGCGAAGCTGTCATTGCGCGCAGGCAGCGTCGCACACATGCGGATTCGGATCTGGATGATGTACGTGCAGGGGGGGCTCGCAAGGGACAATCTAGTAAATCTCGCGGGGGTGCGGGCGCTGGTGATCAGGCCGGACATGGTCAGGGAAATACTGGGTCGGGCCAGGCTAAGCGGCGCAAGGTTGAGCGGCCCGCGCCTGTGGAGGCTGGTGCTGCGATGGAGCGTACTGCTAGCAGCGCTAGTACTTCGAGGCAGGCTGCTTCGAAGGATCCCGCTGAAGCTACGAAGAAGAGGCGGGCACCTAACACGAATGCGGCTGCTCGGAAGAGGTATGTTGCTTTTGCTTGCTTTGGGTGTACATGGACTAACAGGGTGGCAGAAACAACACCAACGCATCTGCAGTCGATTCCCCGGTTCTGGCTCCATCCCCTGTTGTCGCTGCTGCGGCTATCCCACGAAGCGCTGTCAGTCCTGGACCTGGTGCAGTGCGGCCGCAGACTTCTCGCGCGCAGCAGAATTCCGGACAAGCAAACAATGGTCGTCAGAGACCGTCATCTTCTGCGTCCAATCGCGTTACCAGCAATGGTACGTTTCAGCCATGTTCAATCTCAGACTGATCGCAAATCTAACCAAATAACTACTCTAGGCAAAGCTGCAGAACCTAAAACCACAATCAAAGAGACGACATCCAAAACCGAAGCCACTCCTACTTCTAATCCAGATGCCCAACGAGAAACCGAAGAGCCCACCACAGACGCATCTAAGCTTCCACCTCCTATCAGCACTAAACGCGAAGACACCGATGGAAAGCCCGCGCCGTCCATCGAACCAGGCGAAGTCCCCGCACCGCCAGTCTCGAACCCACCTCCCAAGGGCCGATCATCGAAGACATCCACCCCGGTGCTACCCACCTTCTCCGAACCCACTCAGCGCGTACGACCTACCCGAAGCACGGATCCCGCACCAGCCAAACGGTCCCACAAGAAGAACAGCAGCGTGCCAGTGGTGCAAGCGCGGGCCGTATCAGAAGAGGAAGAGTCTCTCCATGAGGGCGATGATGAAGACGAAGACGGTGAGCCCAGATACTGCTACTGCAATGAGATCAGTTTCGGTGAGATGGTGGCATGTGATAATGACGCCTGCCCTCGCGAGTGGTTCCACTTGTCGTGTGTTGGGTTGACGAAGCCGCCTGGGAAGAATGGTAAGTCTATTCCTTTATTCTATGAATGTGGAGGGTGCAAATTGCTAACTTGAAATTAGTTAAATGGTACTGTAATGAGTGCAAGGAGAGTATGCGACGGAGTCGAAGTGGGCGTTGAACGAGCAGAGCAGGGGGAAGCAAAACAAAACAGGATACCGGAGTTATGGGTTGGGAATGGCTTTTGGCTCTCATGAATGTACATACGTAGTAGACAATAAACTGATTGTCTGACTTTTGTCAAGTATGGTTATAAGTAATGGCGAGTAAAGATACTTCTATCTATATAAATACCAGTAAAGGGCATGGAGGCTTCTCGGCCAGTCAAAGGGCTGGATCATGGATAGTATACTTGGTATACTCCGCACCAGCTGATCTGAAATCTAGAGACAGGATCATGATCCTCTACCCCGCCAGCCTAGACCAGCTCATTAATACCCGGCGCCAGTTCCACTCTATCACTATCCTTCCTCATATTCTCAACCCCCGATTGATAACATCCCCATCAGCTCAGCTGACAAAATGTCCAACGAGAGATATTCTCAGCGACCCCTGCAGATCCGTCAAAGTCGTCCGAGTAAAAGAGCGCTTCGCAGTCAAACTAGGCTTCTCCATCGCACCACTAGAAGCAGAGAACATGAAATTCGTTGCTACTAACAGCAAAGTCCGCGTGCCAAAAGTCTACGATGACTTTATCGATCCAGAGACCCAGAAACGGTACATCATCATGGAATATATCCCCGGTACCGATCTGCAGAAGCTAGCACCATCTCTTTCTGAAGACCAGAAGAAGAAAGTCAGCAAGCGTATCAAGGAAGCACTTGATGAACTGCGACGTATTCCTTCTCAGGGGTACCTTGGGAACTTGAACAGCACACCTTACTACGAGGGCATTCTCTCTACTCTTGATCGTGACCCGAGCATATCTGGTCCCTTTGACAATAAAGAACAGTTCAACCAGGGTATATTGAAATGTCTAGGACGGAGGGAGTCGCAGCATTACGTCCGCTTGCTTCATCAAGCGATTCAACGTACACTCATAGGACATAGGATTGTCTTCACCCATGCGGATCTCCAGCCGAAGAATGTCATGGTTAAGGAACAGAAGGGGGTGTGTGAGGATGGAAGTCCGGGTTATCAGATAACGATTATTGATTGGGACTTGGCTGGCTGGTACCCTGAATACTGGGACTATTGTAATTCGACGGTCTACTGCCAGGCGAAACCGGAGTGGCTTGAATTGGTCCCGGATGTCTTTGATGAGTATCCGGTGGAGTATCTTATGATGCGGATATTCTACATGTCAATGTTTTATTGAAGAGCTCTGCACCGGAATTCAGTGAAGAATGTGATAGTCAGATTGTTTCCTACATTCTTAGTTGATACTCGTATACATCAAAGCAATATAAGAAGAGCCAAACGCAAGTACGAAGACAAAACAGACTCGAGAATGATATGATGACAGCACGAGAGGTCAGGCCTGATTCATTGATGTATACTTCCATATCAGGTTTTCATGACACTTCCCAACTTTCTCAAAGCCTAATGATACCCTTCTCTGAAGCCAAATTCTAGACATCATGGAGCCAGTCTCCACAGCGATGAACTATTCCAGCAATGAGATTAAGAGTGACTGAGTGACAACCTAGAGCCGAATGTAGCCATAGTGATAGTACCGCGTAAGGTGATAAAATCAACAACTGGAAGTAGATAGTCTCACATTAGCTCCCACCTAGTCTTATATACTACTTCGTATTTAAGTGGTAGGGACCTCGTAACTACTACCAGTACACCGGCCCATTAGTACACCTCCACCCATGGACTTGCCCGAAATCAGATAGATACACAAACATCATCCAGAGCGAAGAGATTATACTAGTACACAACGAGAGATCAAATGCAGTAATAACCAATCGGACAGGAGACCAGCACTTTATGCCCCGAGTGTGGACCCATACTGCCTTTCTTGACCGCTCTATTGAACCGCCAAAAGCGGCAGAACCTAGCGAACCTCGCAGAGAAAAGTGCGGATATAGACGGATATAGACGGACATATTTTTATACAGCCCCGAAAAAGTCAGTCAGCATTCTGTATACTTTTTGACCGCCTTGGTGATGCGGCAGAATCCGGGGCATTGTCACTATAGTGTACTATAGAATGGAGCTTGGAGCTTTGTTTTATGCTAATTGCTGATGGAGATCGATGTAAGATGTCTTGAGTGTATGAGTTACTTCAGTGTGCTTGGGATGCAACGATTGTGACTGCCTTATTTTTTTCTAACTACTATTATGTGCATTACTAGAGGATTGAAGTTGTCGGCGCACTTCAAGCTTGCGCTATTACACAGTTTTGGCAGTATCAAGAGAATGCTTGAATCATTCCTATTAAGTCCTCATATATTATCGCTTATCTACTTCCTGTCATTCTCGCAAAGTGCCACTATATAAAATCATCTACCCAACAACACTCAACATCATATACTACCACCGTTTGGAGCAGACAAATTCCGAACAAATCTCGCACTTCCCTTCCAATGAAGCTGCACCCCAGACAGCTTGGTCAAACCCAAGTCATCAGGGTTCAGCAATCTAATCGTCCATTGAGTAAACGGAGTCCGCTCGGCGTGTTCGCTAGTCGGATAGGTCGCGTGCACCAGCGTATCACCTATCGCGCCCGATTCGTCAATCTCATAGGTAAGTCGTACCTGTCTTGGTAGACTGGTGAAATGGAATATCTTGCCATCTTGGATATCTGCATATACTCCTGGGGTCAAAATATCGATGTTCACCTGTGCGAGTTCATTGCTGATGGCTTGGGCTCGGGGAACAACACCCTGCAGGAAGGTCTCGAGGCTTTTCAAGTGGAAGTGTGATCTATTATTGGATATGCTGGCGAAGCTGTTATTGTCGTTAGAATCGGTTGTTGGCGCGGGTGTAGATTTGGCGGGTAGTTGCCCGTGGGCTAGTTATTTCGGTGCATCTTTGGGGGCCTGTTTTACCTCACTGGATCATCATGGTTATTTAGATATATTGGGGCGCTGAGTGGTAGTACTACTAGTCAGTTCTGAACTAGAACGATCATGATATTTGAAAATATACGTTGGAAATTTACGAGTTATATTAGTATGTGAGTATCTAGCCGGTCTTGTAGAGGATCAATGTCTTGACAAGTTGCAGACTAGTAGTACTATAACCTCAGTCACCGCATAGATATATTCGTGGTTATCTTGACAGCCTACGCCTGGGCTTGGATCAATCCAGTGACTTAGCATCAGTAGGACATAATTAAGATTAAGAAGATATACTGGTACTAATGAGCGTTATTCTTGAAATACCAAAAAGAAGCCGAATCAAAATAATTTTACTTTACTACTTGTTACTCATGTAGTCATTTATAGTTGAGTGGTGCGTGCGTAGTATATTTCTACTATCCGCACCCACATTGTAAGCCCTCATCTACCAAACGCTAGAGACATTCTTCAACAAGTCGTCTCGATGGTGTAGTTGGTTATCACGTGGGTCTCATACTACAGTATGACGTGGAAGCTTCAACTTCCATGCGATCCCAAGGCCGGGAGTTCGAACCTCCCTCGGGACAGATCTTTTTCTACCTTGTATTTTTTCCCCCTTTAGGTTGCTTGGTACATTTGTTGTTGGTAAAATATTTTTAGCTTTTCTGTTTATCTACCTACCTACTTTTCTATAGGGGTGGGGTCCGTAAGCCTTTTGAATAGGTTATGATTATTGAAGAAGATCTTACAAGAAGTCAATTAGTGAAGCTCACTTCGTCTATGTATTATTTTCGAACCAAGATGGTGGGTATATATACATGCAGATCTAATAGTATCTCACAAATAACGAAGACTAATACTAAGAATACGCATGATTCTCTTCTATAGGTCCCATTTCCCCATGGCTTTGATCCAAATCCAAGTTTGTACGCACACCCTCTGAACCTGCTTCTTCCTGAGATAGCGGCCCTCCCTTCTCGCTCCCATCATGATCCCGAGTCACAATCTCCAATTTATTGTCGCGTTGCATCACTCGTATATTGTGCTTGTACACATCAATCGTCGAGATACCGGCTCCCGTATGAGCCATCTTTTCTGTTGGAGCAGAGTTCCATGCAAGCGCTGCGATCTCTGGCGCAGAGCCCCAACTGCTCGAGGAGAGCCCGCTGTAGATAGAATAGCAGACGTGGGCAATGGCCACGGCGATATAGATGACGAGTACGATCATTTCGAGTATGGACGTGATCCCGTCTGCGCTGTATGCGTAGCCGTTCACATAAGCTTCCATTACCAATTGGGTGGATCGGTTGCGCACGGCGGCAGACACGTTGAATGCGTTGCGCCCTGTGCCCATGTTCCCGCCCTGGGGAATGATGTCGTAGATCCAGTCGCCGCCATCCCAAAGATTATTTGGATTGTTAGCACCTTTCAAGTCCATGATAATACTATGGTTGTACGCTGACCGGCCGATGCCGTTGGTGATAAGGGTAGCTAGGATATTTTCCACTATGATATCGTAGTAGTAGGAGGGTGACGGAGTTGAACTGTTGAAGATGCCAGCCATCGAGGTGATAGGCGATAGAATCGTTTCGTTCGTACCGGGAATTTCTGGCGTCAGGTACCTCGCCCAGTCCGCGGTAAGTGCAACTCGTGGCCAATCAGAATGAAATGTCCCATTTTTGTCCATTTCCGCAGGCTGACCAGTGACAATCTTGATGTGGTTTCGCGTGGACACTAGAGTGACGTTGGTGAACCTGCTATCGACGCTGCAAGTGAAGTATTGTGGGTTGGTGCTGTCTGTGGTAGGCAGCATGAGTATAGCAGCAAGTGTGGCATCGATAGGTTGCAGCAGAAGAGGATCGTCGATCCAGAGCACGGAAGGGGAAGCACCTTGTAGGAGGGAAGATTCTACCTTATCCTCGATTGTCTTGTTGGAAAATCCACTGTATAAGTCGATCGTGGCCTGACTCAAGTCAGCCGTGCCCGGGCCTGAGGAGAGAGACGCAGTGCCCAATGCAGGAAAGGACAGAGTGATATTGCCGGAGTAGTCGTAGAACGTTTGACCACAAAATGTGAGTACCATTGGCTGCAAGGCGTTGGTCATGAAGAGCGCATCGTTCCTGAACTTGAATCGTCCGACATCGATGTTGGCGGCAGCGTACGACCATAGCCTGCCTAATTCTGCAACGCTATCCGCGACGACAGAGAGTGGGGTAGTTGCAATGGTGTATGCATTCCCCCACATCATCTCATGAGTACCGAACAGATTGCGAGACCTCATTCCAAAGCTGCGGATGGAGGCTTGGCCGGAGATGGTAAGATTTTGGGGGACACTGCCCGCGTTGACGAGCTTCGGAAAGAACGAGTAATAGTCTTGGTTGAGGATCTGCCAATTACCAGCCGGGCAGGCGAGGTCACTGTTATCAAAAGCACAGTGCGATAGTGCTGACGAGTTCTCCATTTTACTAGGAAAGAGTACGCTGTCGGTGGCGTTGACCCAGAATGGCGTGCCACCCGCGGGCCAGTCATCCAGACGTGGCTTCATCAAATTACTTGTGGACGGTCCAACTGTTAGTCCCAGCAGGGTGCATGTGACCATCAGGCAGAGGATGAACCACTTGGTGGTTCTTCGTTGCCAGTCATGGTTGACTGAGCCCCACATGCTGAGAGACCAGAGGAAACTGATGTCTTGAAACTGCAGAGAGGTGAAAATGGCGCCAAACGGAAGGCCTTCCCCAAAGGCAAGTTCTCTGCGGATGTAAGTAATTAGTATGGAGCCAAGCGAAGCTAGCATGAGAAGTTCATGAAGCTTAGCTGCGAATGTCAGCGCAGCCAGCTTTTCTGCATCCTGTCCAGAAGCACCAGATAATTCGCCCCCGATATAGTAACCAGTGGAGTTAAGCATGATGAGTGCAAATGCAGCACTGACAGGAACTACATGCAGAACACAGCGGATGGATGCAAGTGTCTTACTCCTGTCCATGAAGACCTTCGGCTTTTCTGTTACCTCAATGTCGCGCAGCTTGCAGCAGGTATTGTAGAAAGATGTGATGCCGATATTCTTCAGCAATGCCAGAAAATGGTCGCCGAGCCCGCGACTGCTGGATTCCGATTGGAGTCGTTGCCAACGCAATCGATCTCTTGCTTGGGCCATCTGGGCCACCAGTGTAGTTCGAAGCGAGTGTACCATGCACCGAGCCTTGTCCGAAATCGGGCGCCGACCATACCGCGCGCGCTGATTTGCTTGTATAGATCCAACGCTATCGGAGGCGTCGCTGTTGGAGCGCGAGATGCCACCATGCAAATTGGAGTCACTGCTTGACGCGTTGTAGGATTTAGCAAGAGCCAGACTCCGTCAAATCCCAGTCTAGACTTACACGGTGGTCGGCCGATACGGCTCGGCATACATGTTTTCTAAGCTCACAGCTTCTCCATCCAATTGGGACTGCCAGGACAGATTGGATGAGGAATAAGTGTTATGAACGAGGCGAAGTCCATTTTGAAAAGAAGGCCGAGTGCCATTTTCGGAGGTCATTTCTGGAAATCCGTGGTGTATAATTGTCTTGAATATAATTTCCAGGTGGTTGGCCTCAGCCACAGATTAGGCCATGTATAGTATCTGAACCAAGAAGATGGGACGCAAGGCTTAAGCCGTAGACGTCTTATAAGATAAACTGCGCCCAAGCCCGCGGAACAGCGTCAAGCCCATATCTGAGCTCCAAGGACTGGAGTAATCTGATCTACTAAACTGATAGCACATAGCCTAGCAGGGGACCTAGTTGCTGATTGGCCTCTGCTCGCTGTACCGCTCGGATAATACTAGCGCTTAGAGGATGGGACGGGGAGCTGAAGCAGTCTACCCAGCCCCTGATCCCTTAGCCGACAAGACCGGCCAACAAATAGTGCCCACGTCAAATTAGGCCCGTAGACGATAAAGCTACGCGCAAGCCCACCAGAGCCTTTCTTCTTGCACTCGGTCAAAGGGAGGGGGCCGCAACGATCAGACAAGGCTAAAGATACTAGACAGGAGCCAGTGCCTTTAGCGCCGCGGCCCACCAAAAGCATATCATTGGTCTCGACCACGAGACGGTCTGCGGGGTCATTGCGAACCAAGGATCAAAAGGCGCTTAATGAGGTAGTGCGTTAGAGCTCGCCAGCTATTAGATACTGACTGGTGGCAGTACAGAAGCGAGGGAGAGAGAAAGCTGTGGGGCGTAATACATGGTGTACTGGGTACCGTCGTAGGCTGTATTTGACTCTTTTCCGACTTGCCCGGGCAATCCCAGCCTTCCTATCAGCAGTTCACGCCTACTTCTTGGCATCGACCTTCCAACCTCATGAGGTTTGAAACAGGACACATAGGCGGCGGTGTGTTGAAGTTGTTTTTAGAATCAATCTCTACTGACTTCGGAAGTTGAAGCGCCCAATTGTAGGAATATCCACGAACTTGGCCTCAGACGTGTGCCCAACCATTAGAGACAAGCACCTGCATCTCATTGATCAAGCAGAAATCACCAGGTTCTTGCTCATCGATATGGTCATCATGCCACCCAGCAATCCTCTTGCGGACAACCAGCTTTTTGAAAAACGGTGTTGTAAACCAGCGTCGGAGTCGGTTCTCCCAAAGAGCTAATGCCACATGTTGCAGCGATAACCAGGCCCCTGTAGGGTGAACAGCTTCATAGGCGGCAGGGTTATAGCCGACACGAACCTTAGGGTTCAAGTAAACCCCGTCTTGCTTGGAGAGAGGGTTATCCGCATGAATCAAACAGCATTCAGAACCCTCGAGATGTGAAAGCGCCAGGGAATCGGAGATAGCGCGAAACCGTAGCGGAGGAGTGGAAACAAAAGGCTCTATAGGCATAGCAACTGCGATATATGATCGATCAATATGGGCATCGAGAAGAGCGTGTAGGAGGTCACCAACCCATTCCGTTCCAGCAACTCTTGACAGGCACAGGAGACAGGGCAAGCAGTGCATTGCGTGATGCTGCAGACCGGAAATATGGCCACTTCTGCATTACATGCTCGTCGCCGTTCGAATCGCGCAAGGCAAATGTGTCATAATAGAGCGGCGGTTTAGAAAAGTCCAGCGAGCAAGCGGCAGCGTAGACACCGTCATTTGTATCGAGTAACCGGATAACATCATCCACCTGTAATCTGGAAGTTAGCGACGTGCAAAGTTTGATCTATATACGAGACATACAGTGAAGACCACATCATTCAGGAACAGCACTTTGTCAAATGTGATGCCTTGCTGCGACAAGTCTTCCAGTGGTTGCAAGGTCAAATTGCGTAGCCGTGCAAGATACGGAATGCGCCTGAGTTCCTTCTTTTGGCGAGGTGTATCAATCCAGCCTTCTCGAGGACGAGCGGATAGCTCATCCTGATGTGTTGTGTCCGATAGGGTGATGTTGCGCCGCACGCCAAGTCGATCCAGCCCAGCGTCAAGCTCGCGGAGAGCCCCCTTGGAATCATCCCAACTCCCGCTCTCGTAGACGCTCACAAAAACATTATCTGGTCCAAAAGTTTTTGCTAGATTGATCACCGCATCATTCCAATGGCTTCGCAGGATTGGTTCGTTGTTCCAGTGCATGCTCGCGATGAACAGCCGCTCGGGTCGAGGTGACAGGTGGTCCTTGGCCACATCCACAGTAGAAGCCTGATGATGGATATAAAGGGTTTCCACTATCGTCCAGGTCACCATACAAAGTAACAGACCCTGGAGGAAGCGCCGGCGCAGGCTAAACCGGCGGGACAACCCATACCGAAGGAATGAGCTAGCATAGCTGGTAGTTGGAACCATTGAAGGAAGATTCAACGATCATGTCCTATTCATATATGATAATATGAATGCAACCGAGGAAGGCAGGTGGATCCGCATGGATGTCAGTGTATCGTAGAGCTGGCACCGAAGGGCAATCAATAGGAGACGATAATCAGCGACTGATCATGGAGAGAGTTCAGCTGGCCGGATTCTGCCAGTCCCTACCGCCACGACACGCGATAACAGTGGACTCACGTGCGGTCTAGATGCCAATTATAGTATATCACAGGCCTCGGCGGTCAAAGCGCCGCGTTTTATGCCGGGGAACAGCTTGGCTTTTTGACGAGTCTGGAAACACCGGCTGGAATACATAAAGACTAGTGTCATAGCCAATGAAGCGAGGTCGAAAAGGATACCTGCATATCATAATATTAAAACGACATCTCATATGATACACTCTAGGTTGGTATTAACTTCGCTCAAACACACTGAAAGCTACTATACAATTAGCATACCCATAAGGTTTGAACAATTGAGGTTATCAGACACCCCTATATCGTAAATAACTACATGAGACAGACCCTCTAATCTATATCCCCCCACTCCTCCTCAACCTCTGTCCCGCAGCATCCCCCGTCGCACCCGTAGCCGATGAACTCGCCGACGCCGCAATAGCCTCACCCTCCAACCTCCTCCTCAGATCCTCATATCTCCCACCATCTGCCCCTCCAGCTCCATTTACAACTCTCCGCTCTTTCTCCCCCACCATCCACGCCGGGACCCTCCACGCGCCAGTCCCAGGCAGGAACTCCATCCGCCAGGCCACACCAACCAGCCATCCCACCGCAGCGGGAACGACCATCGCGGGAAACTGCGACAAAGCCAGTTGCGCGGCGACAATATACGTTGTAGATTTATCAGACAGTGTAAGAGTAAGGGACTTGCTGCTCTGTTGCGGCTGATCTTTCGTCTCGTTCGAATCAGAGGCAGATGACGTGGAGATCCGGTAGCGGAAGGTAGATGGGATTGAGGCGTGGTATTGCGCTAATAAGGCGAAGATTGTCGCTACGGGTCCGGAGGGAAGGTAGTTCATTTTCCCGAGGGTGATGGGTCGGAGGACGAGGATGAGGAGGAGAGGTGGGAGGAGGGTTGTGTAGGGGAGTGTGGTGAGGAGGAAGGTCTATAAGCCAATATTGCTTGTTAGTACTGCATCGGTGGTATAGCTTGCGAAAAGGCAATAATTAAGGGAAAGGGAAATGTAGAATAGAGTGACGTACGGCAAACTTTCTTTTTCCCCAAGCGCGCTCGACAACTCGTAGATGATACACTAACATCGCGGCGAACAGCGCCTCCGTCGAGTTCGCGAATCCGGCTATCTGCCACACCAGAATGCGCCAGAACTGTCCATATTGCCAGATATGTGGCGCGACTTGGATACTAGTGAGGTGTTTAAGGTCGAAGATGGCGAGAGCCACTGAGGAGGCGATGGTGTAGATGAGGAGGGATTTGGAGATCGAGGCGTTGGTGAGTCCGGAGGTTAACATCTTCGAGATGTTATTGTGAATTTATTAGATTTATTTAAAATATGGAACTGGAGGTAATTTCTCCTGAATATTAAGCAGTAACTAGAGCATGAAGGCGATGTCTTATTAGTGGAGCGTCCTGGTGGTCGCGATGCTGGTCTGACAAGCTGGAAGGAAGGTGGAGGAAGTGAGGGACACGTCGCGTGAAGGGCGGGCCGAGGCGGAGGGGCGGAGAGCGGAGGGCTCGGCATGCCGATAGAAGTACTTAAGAGTCCCAATTGGCTTTACAATGAATCGTTAATAGTCATTTATGTCTATTCTATCATACATTATGGCCATCACGCAGATGGCATTTCCTTCATTTCTTCAGCCAACGCCTGGTTGTACTTCGCCAACGCCGTTTCCAACGCCCGGATGGTCGGCCCCAGTAGTCGATTGACAGCCTGTTCACCCCCAGCCACACCAGCGAGATTGAGCTTGAGCTTCCTTCCCGTCCTTTCCAGCACTTCCCGGGCATGCTGCTTCAGTCGATCAACCTCAACTTGCCGCTCTGCCTCTGCGTCTTGCGCCACCGATTTTATGCGCTCCATGGCTCTGTTAAGGGACTCCACGAGCGAAGCTACCTCACCCGCGCGATCCGGATTCCCGGATAGGAATGCCTGCCAGAATTGATGCAAGAATTCAGTCGTCGTGGCATGCGTTAGTGTCAACCGGTCGTACAACGCAGTTGACAAACCGTATGTGCCGGCATTGCCTGATCCCTCTGTTTGGGAGCGGCGGTCACGGATCGCTTCGAGAATCTGGTTTGAGGCGCGCTTCAAATTCACTCTGGAACCAATCACGTCTTCGAACTTTTGTTGATCTTCATCTTCATCTTCCTGCGGTTCTACCAATCTCCCTAGCGGCGCGGCTCCACCCTCTGGCAAATTTTGTTCTAGATCCCCACGTAGCTTTCCTAGTATCTGATTCGGATCCTGCTGGGCAAATAGCTTGTTTTGCTCATCCTCCACAGATTTCGAATGCGACGAGAAAAAGCGACTCTGGTCCTTGACGTTGAGGAGAATACGTTGCTGTTCCTCGTCCCCGCGTAAGTCGCGCAGCTGCAGCTCGTTGTATGTTCCATCCTCACCCGTCTTGCCATCCGCCTCGCCATCGGCTGGTGCAACGTTCGCCATAATCTTCTCACTCAGACTGTTCAGTGTGCGGATAATGGGCACCTTTTCCACGGAGGACGGGCGCATGTCGAGATCGGGTCGGTTGCCTTGCCGTTGACTGTTGTTCACTTCATTTCCAGCCAAATCTAGGAAATGCGGAACATGCGCATCGCGTGGTAAATTCCCCGACTCGTCCGCCTTGAGGTATTTATCCAGGATTACGTCCGTGGGATCCGTTTCAGAAATGCGCTCACCGCGCAGTTTCTTGAACAGCCGACTCTGGAAAAACCGAGACCAGAATTGCTGCTCGCTAAGCTTGGGTACATTCTCGTCGTATACCCGCTTCACAAGCGGGTGCTGATTGAAGATCAACTGAATCTGCTCCTTGCTAATATTCAGCTTTGTCACGCTATCCTCCACCCGCGGCTTCAATGTCGACAGCACATTGTACGATCCGCGTGTCTGCGACCGTTCGATCGCATGCGCGCGCAAAAGATGAAGTCGAGTAGACCAGAACTGCGTCATGAACTGTGAAGCAGACAGCGTATCCGGCTTGGTGTGTAATGACTCCATGAACATGCGCTGCAGAGTCGAATTCGACTTCAGCAGCGACTGCTGCAGCTCCACATCTCCTTGAAGCCGTTTGTCATCATCCCACGGGCTCTTCTCTTTCCCTACCGATGAAACCGCATTCGCAATGGCCATAGCAGGAGACACGCCTTCTTTAACGGGTGCACTCTGAGCTGTCTTTGCAGCTTGGATAGCGGCACTAAGCGCATCTCTGATGGCATCAGCTTCCGGTCGCGCGTTCGCTCCAGCTGTGAAGGAGAAGACATATTGTTCGGGGGAGCTGGCGGGGGCGTTCGGAGGGAGGACAAAGATCTTCAGCATCACTTTCGGGTTACTCGCGGGGGTCTGTTGCAAATCTATGCCGCTAGTCAGTATAATCGCGCCCGGTGAATCAAGCTAAAGACCACGACGTACTGGTGATCTGAGCAACAGGAAGAGTAATTGCACCAGCTGCACCGCCAGCCGCCGGGATCCAAGAGATCGACTGGCGGTCCTGGGCTATGGTCAGGGTGCCATCTTTCTTCTTGTATGCCGCCGACCCGCTCGGAGGTGCCATCGTCATGGATCTCGACAGCGTCCACTGTCCTGGGCGGCGTCTAGGGATCCACCCATCGGGAGATTAAAATCCCACGGGAGAATCGGAAGGACAGGGCCTTCAAAGACGCGAGAGGTTTGAGTGGATGGGTTAAGATGCGAGTTTGTGAAAAGTACGAAGTTCCGCAATCAGTCAAGATGGAGGCACGTGATAGATATACTGAGACATGTGACTTGTTTGCTTAGTCAGGATGACAGCCCTAACAAGTCATTCAGCTTGAAGACTGTTGCAAGTCAAAATCAAAATGTTAGTGAGGAGTATGTCAGGCTGAATAATTCCAGCTGATAATTCCTCGGTCGGATAAATCAAATCTGAGAGCAAAGTACGCATAGCATGTACGATAAGGGTAGATTGAGAGATCATTTCGGGTTTCTTTCGACAAGAAGTTTTACTATGTCATCTCCAGAACCTAGAATGAGTTCAGTGACGACTTTTCTCGAGTGTACTGCATGATAGCTAGAAATGAGAAAAGTTATGACCGGATTCTCTCGTTGGATGGGGAGAGTGCAACCGACTTGTCCTTCAACTTCTACTCTTACTCTTGTCACCAGAAACCAGCCATAGCCATGGTCGACCAATTATAGTGGAACGTACCGGTCATTGAAGTGAGAATCAATATTTTACGAGAGGCGGGATACTACCTGAAGGATGGACCAACAGTATATCTCGAACAACAAGAGCATTTGCATATTAGGCATACACGGACAATTCCTCGAGACACCCACAAAAATGGTGACTAAAGCAAGAATTGGACAAAGAGATAATCCTATGAATTAAGTTTTCAAACGGTGAAATCCTGTGTAACCTTCCACTTTCCTGAACCAAAGCGGTCCGTGTGTCCTTATATCCGCTACTCTAACAATTAGTGCAGGTAGGAAAGAGTTAAGAAACGATAAACTTATAAGTATCCGAAGACGCAGTACATTGAGCTGATGCCACCTGATCTTCATGCTCAAAGAGTGCTAAGACTCTACCAGGAGAATAAAAGGATTGAATCAGGGAAATCCCATCCATATCTATGAGTCGTGTCTAGAACACTCTAATATAAAGAGAACGCCCACTTAGTCTCAGAAGTCGGTTTCCAACCAAGTCTATACTACATGTCGACACAAAAGCCCTACGATATGGGGAGCTCACAGTCCGAGGAGTCTGGAGCAAAAGCTCCCACTCATATCGACTATAAACTAGAGAACATTATTGCGGAGGCGCTGGATAATGGTGGAGTGCCCAACGTGTTCTGCGGTCACGGGCTATTGAGCGTCTATGGTCTTGTGCAGGAGCAAAAGGTAACATACTATATTCCCCCCACCCGTTCAGCTACAATAAGATTGAAGCTAACTACTTCCAGAGTTCTACCTGGGTCATCCCCAACTTCTACATCGCAGAAGCAGACTCCCTTCTACAAGACGCCGGTTTCCACAGCTGCCATAGGTCTTACTGCGAGGGATACCGGCCCAACAAGAGGCCTTTTGCACCGGCATATCACTACCATGTCCAACCACGGGTGAACAGGCCGTACAACCACGTCGTGCTTTTATATAAGATGGGGGACCTGTTCATTGACCTGGCGCCGGTTCCCACGCGACTACCACCATTGGATGATCCGGACTATATGCTAGTCGATGATCCTCGGCTACCAGACTACAATGATGAAGCTGGCAATGGTCGTTGGCAGTCTATTCGTTCGATCAAGATCCCAAAGCCAGCCCGGTTCATTGACGCTGTAGTCCTTCTCATGGTGAGAGAGTGGCCTCAGGACCCTACGTCTTCTATCTGGTATGGATACTTGAGTGAGCTGCTGGATCATATCGACGAATGCGGAGACTATGAGCTCGTTCCGAGTTGGGATGTGCTGGGAGATTTAGCGCGTGGCTTTGTGAAGTTTTATTTCGACGGGGAGACGAAGAAGAATGCGTGTGAGGTGAAGAATTATATATCTAGAGTGCGGGATGACATGATCGAGAAGACGAAGTTATCTTTACTTCTCATGGCAGATGAGGTTGAATGAACCATGAGGGATTCTTTGTTAATAAAATGGACCATATTCAATTCTTTAAGGTGTTTGAAAGTTATAGTTCCATTGTGAAGGGAATTGGGGTGCTTGGGCCGTATAGCTCCTTGTATGGGCATACATCGTCGTCTGAGACACCCTACCCGGTATATTGCATAATGTGGACAAGACATTAGTAAAGTTCTAATTGTAGCAGAGTTAATTATCATCAGACGTCTCATAAATTCGTTGATCTAAGTTCTGCTTGGCTGGAGCCTGCAGTGAACGTTATAATCTCACCTATCTAAATTCATATCCGAAAGTGTATGATCGGTGATAGCCATGTGTTCATAGTTGCAGAATACGAGTGTACAAAGTCAAAGGTCAACAATGAACCCGCTAATATCCCGTTACAAAGAAGTTTCCCAGTAATTGCTTGGGGACACTTTGCATTGTCTTAAAGTTAATACTCCTTTGTCCAAGCTTTCAGAATGTTTTAAAGATACTAAGTGCAATACCCGTGCTAATAGGGTGCAGCCGGTGCCTAGCAAGCGAACTATAGCTCTACTACGCCACAACTGACCACCCTAACGTTTCTTTTTGTCGCTGTTGACTATAAAGTAACCCAAGAATTCTTGTCCCATCTGTTTCCTGTCTACATAGTTCTGTCAGACAACTACAGGATGGAAAACTCATTAACAAAGATGTGTCTCGATAACTTAACAATCGACGAATTCGATAAGGCGTATCCGGATATGCTGTATCCAAGCAAGACACAGCTCTATGACGCCGCAAAAGATTTGCTCATATGTATGCGGTCACTGAAAAAGAAAGGTCACTTGGATACAACATTCGTGGGAATAACAGGAGGGCTTGCTGTCATGCGTTATTGTCCCGATCGTTTGCCCAGTATTGTAAGTATATTCGATTGAAAGCACACTCATTAAAAAGCGTTCCTTTGACTAATCCATTGAGTAGGCTCCTGCTAGGAATGAAGATATTGACGTCGTCCTGGACTTAGGAGATTCGACCCTGAAAGACCTCATGAATGCGTTGCATTGGTATAACTCGCAGCTCTTCATAAAACACCGTGAGTCTCTCTACATGCGGACACCAGGAGGCAAAGTGAGGATCGACTTCAAGATAATCCCTGTGGACGTAAGTGCAGCTATACGCGATTTCATTGATTCTTACGACCTGCGTCATTTTTCATGGCATGATTATAACCTAACCATGTCATTAGAGAAAATTAAAAGGAATGCAGAGTCTGTACGATCTTCAACTGATACATCTACTGTACGAAAACAAGATGACAATACAACTACCGTTCGTTAACAAGATAGACCTCCTGACGTCTAAGTTATACGACACCCACCCTGATTCTTTACCCTTCTCATCTTGGGGAGAGATTGACACCGCGAGAGGCATTCACCATGGGACAGATGCGCTTCGACTGGCTCTGTTATTCAAACCGGGAAAAAGAATCACAGTCACTGTGGGGCAAGCTTGGCGGGTAATGAGGGCGTCCCTAAGTATAAAGGATTATATCGGCATTCCAGGTATTGAGTGGCTTAAATTGTTCCTCGTCTGCACTGAAGATTATGAAGGTCGGCCGGCTGAAGTTTGGAATCTGGAGGACGCTTTTTGGCGGATGGAAGTGTGCAACAATTTCGGACCGCAAGCACTAGATTCATGGTACTACTAGCATAATACGGATTCAGTTTACGGTTTTTCTCTAGTTTTCTTACATGTTTCCAGCGAAGTAAATATCAAATTTGTGTCAACGCAATCAGCTTAAATAGTAACCGAGACCGCCTTCCACATATATTATCACGAAAATTGTCATTAAGGGCCCCAAACCCTTTCTGACCATTTGACATTGCTCAATGTATCAACAATTTTTCTGTCATTGCACTAACACTATTCACACCAGCTTCCGCAGAATCCCCTGGAGGCCCAACAGCCCTCCATAGACAGAATTGTACTTCCTTAGGATTCTTTACCAGCGGGATGACTGTGAGTAATATCAAGGCATTCTAATTGCTGCAATACAAACTATATTTAGTGAACAGTAGTTAGCTGTAAACATTGCCATTAGTACATTCATCCGTCCAAGCATAAGTGACGTCATCGGATATATACAAATCAGCTGTTCACTCAACTAATTGGATATATGTGCCAGTACCCATTAACATAATACAAGTACAGCATCAGTAATAGAAACATAAACTAATATTGTAGTTGACCCCCAAGTTCTGTCCCACAAATTAGTATTGTAGCACCGACTGTAAATATCTTCCCTCCCATTGGCTAACCGCAAAGTAAAGATTCCCCGCACGTGACAGCGCGCCATGCGGGACGCGCCTCCAAAAGAAGGACGAGTTTGATCATCCACCTAGATGAAAGATATCAATTAACTAGGATTACTGTTGATTACCTAGTTATACGCGGATACTTTTTTATTGAAAATGTCGTACTACGACATTGATGCCATCTTGACAGATTCCCAAGTAGGTGGAAAATGAAACTGCATGCATAGGCTCATTCTCACACATCCGATCTATTCAGAAACTACCCTGCACGTTTGAATTGGACGTACCTGGTCTTGGTATCTTGGAGGGGAATGCGGGGGAAAATGTATGTTTCCTGTCTTATGTGCTTGTTGATTTGTTTTGTGCATGGAAGTGTATCTTGCTAAATATGTGGTGTGTGTGTTTTATCTAGATCAAAGCCGGAACGCGCATTGATTTGCCATTATGGCTGGGTGAGATGCTTTCTATCGGGTGAGTTCAATCCTTCACTATCAACATTTTGGAGAGATGGTATCGTCTAACTATCGCAGTGCCCGCCTGGGAACCTCCCGCCTAGTCACGCTGGATCTCCCCTCCGCACTCTCAGAACGAGTCATGAATGCCTTGAAGGCTGATCCTCGGACGGTGGATCTGCGGTCCCTGGCACCGCATTTCTATAGTTTGAGTGAGCGGATTCTGGAGCTGTTTGAGGAGGAAGAATTGGTGGAGGTTTTGAGTAATGTATGGTGCTTTTTTGTAACCCGGGGGAGGGGAGTGAGAAGAGAAGGCTAATTGTGATGATGATGATGATAGACGTTTAAGAAGCGTTCAGCGGTCATTGCGGACCACGCGCATAATCCGCAGGGTGCTTTAGGGCAGGGAGCGGATTTCTTGCGAGGGTTGGATGAGACGGAGAGACAGCGTATGTTCCACCGTTGTGTCTGTGTGTTGTGTGTGTGTTGCTAATTACTGATGCTTGTGGGTAGTTTTCCGGGTTGCGCATGATAGTGCTAAGGAGACGCGGGTCTGGGCTGGAGAGGCGAAGAAGAAATGATGGAAGTGGGTGGAAGGTATGGGTTTGTGAAAGGTTGAGCTGTGCTCGCCGGTATGAACATAAAATTTAACAGAAGACTAAGAGTAATTATGAAGTATCAAAATGTGATGACTATAATATTCATTATCCTTGGATTTACTATGTATGTATGGGTCTGATTGGTAAATGTGGTCATGGTGGTTGACATCTGGTTCTAGAAGTAAAGACTTGAAACGGCTCAATTAATGTCCTGCTGGTACTCGATTAATTGAAGGAACAACATGAAACAGTTACCCAAAACCTATCATCTAAAAATTCCGGTCAATCGCTGCGGATAACCCCTCACGCAGATTCCTGATTTTCATGTACTGTACTCCGTGCTCCGGAGTTATGGAGGGGAGTCACGAGCTCAATGCTCCCCGAGATAAGAATGACTGGAGGGACATGTCAACTCCGACTGGCGGAGGAAAAAGCGCCTACGACCGGCATAACCGAGGGGTTGTGTTCTAAGGCCCACGAGCTGGGAGAGCTGGGAAGAATGGAAAAGGAAAAGGGGAACAAGAAAAAAGAGAAATATCTATTTCTGGGTGTCCGAGACGAGCCACGGGAAGAACGACGGGGCGAGTTATCTGCCACGGGGCGATGATGAAGGACTAAAGCTGAGAGCGATGGGGATGATGAGACGATGATTGCAGACGGACTGGTGTAGTGGGGAGGGGAGAACCACGGGCGGCCGATGGGTCCCTGGAACGTGGGGCAGCTTGAAGGGGAAAAAAAAGGAGGGCAAGTTGACGGATCAGATTCTCCTGCAATTCCGGGCGGCTACATTGAGGATGATTATACTAGATAGATGGTAGATAACTTGATGGAGAGGAGGGGTAGTGGGATCGTGAGATTTTAGCCGATGAAGTGGGGGAGAAGGGCACTGACATTGATGATTCCCGTCCCTGCAATTCAGTGGTAGCGATCCTTGTATATCCTCCGTAAGGATGCGTGTGATCAGTTGAGGGATGGAGCAATAGGGAGAGGTTACAGTAGGGATGGACTGTGGTAACAAAAGAAATTAAAAAAAAGGTACGGGTTTTCCAACCACTACACTTGGCCAGCCACCCTAGCTATTGGTGGTCCTCAAATTCAGGACAATAGCAGAAGGAGAAAGGCGATTGGAAGCTTAAGTTCAGGTTCAGCCGGCCCAGCCATCGGAGACCATCCACTAAATCCACTGCACTAAACCGCACTAAACCCGCTGGGGAGATGGTGGGAAGAGCGACCGGGACCGGGATCCAGTTCCTGACTTGCTGGTGCTCCGCTAAGGCCATTTTAGCCCGGGTTTTAGTGCCCTGCGATCGTTTGTTCCTTGAGCCTATCTCGTTGCTTTGCACGCCTTTTCCCCTCTCTCGATCCAAGACCATCCAGACTGCCTACTTACCTGCTTGCCTGCTTGCATTCATCACAATCATCATCACGCATTCACTTTTATCCTCAAATTCTTCTGCTTCCCCCTCGCTGGCATTTCGTTGTTCAGTCAACCTTCTTTGTTGCTTGGCAACCTTCCGTTCATACCACAGTAACTTCCCCCCAAATCCAACGCATGCCTGCATGCATACATACCGAGAAACTCAAGATCCGGATCGCTCTCACTAAACTAATCCCTCCCTCCCTCCCTCCATGGATGGATGCATGTGTGGAGATCATCTTCCTGTCACTCGGTCCCCTTTCTTGGCCGTGAGGATCCAACGATCGACTCGTCACACTTTCTCCTCACACTTTTTCTCTTTCGCTCCCCTCACGTCTTGACTTGACCTCTTTTTTTTCTCGCTTCCTTCTTTGTTCTTCCCGTCCGAACTTACACTTCATCCACTCTACCTCCCCTCCTCGCCGTTCCCACTAGACGCTTGGACGCGCAGTGGGCCTAGTTTCGTCACCAATCGCCCTTCCTAGTCGCATTTTCTCACCTTCCGCCTGAGACATTGCTTTTTCCTCCTTGCTCTATCGGTCGACTCCCTCCCCGATCCTTCTGAACGAACTCGCGCCTAGTGGATACGATCCTGCGAACCTACTGCAGTCTAACTGGCATCGCGCATCTTGTCAATTATGCGCATTAGCTAGGCAACTTTGGCCCATCTCACCCGCAGACACACACACACACGCAACATGGACCGAAATATCCAAAGACGGAGCACCGTCTCGGTGCAGTCAACTGCCCCTTCTTCCCTGCGCCATTGCTCATTTCCCTCCTCTTCAAACACCTCGCCTCCGACCGATACGGCCTCCCTCAAACCCGAACCCAAGCTGAAGCGTGAGCTATTGACTATCCTTTCATCCCTTGATTGTCACCCAAGGGATACTTGAGACAAACAAAAGACACTAAACTGATCCTCTCTTCCCATGCAGGCCGGTCTGCTCCCCCAAAGCCTCTTGCCCTCGCCCGGGTCAAGGGAACCGTCGCCATGGACTCTTCGCCGCAAATGAATTCAGGTGCGGAATTCTTCCCAGCATCGGGCGTGCAGTGGTATTGATCGGACTATAGAAATGTCGTGGCTGAACGACGCTTCACCAATGTCGATGACACCCAGGACCGCAACCCCGAGAACGCCGCAGCGATCTGGCGCCGGTACGCACATGGCATCACCGCAAACTTCACGTAGGAGGGAGCGAGCGCACACGCTGACTAGTGATGGGCACACAGGTACTCCGGAACCTGTCCCTCCATCGCTCGTCAACCCGTCTTCGGCCCTTCTCCAAGATCTTCTCAAAGAACAACGCGCGAATCGAGTTCCCAAGGGAACTGCGTCGGAGGACGCTGGTCAGGGCGCCCCGCGCACGCCAGAACGATCTCACTCCCGGCCCCAGTCTCGATCTCAATCCCCCGCACAGTCCCAGTCGCAATCCCGATCGCAGTCGCAGGAAGAGGTGGGATCGGAGAAACAGCGGAAGATTCAGACCGCGCTTTCGTCGGGTCTCAGGCAGCCGCATGAAATGGGGGTCAGAGAAATGGGCGAGGTAAGTGTTTCTGGGTCATTCGTTTCAAGCAGCCTATAGACTGACTGACCAAATGGCAGTACGTTTCCAAGATTAATAAACAAAATTTCGACTTGAAGCTCGAAATATTCCACCGTGTGCAACAAATGGCCGCTTTGGAGAAGAAATTACAGCGTATGGAGCAACTGGAAGAGGAACTTGAGCGCCTGCGAGGCCTGGAAGACGAGGTTCAGGAACTGAGGGATGCCGAGTCAGACAATCAGCGACTAAGGGAATCCAACGAGCAACTACGACATGAGGTTGACAAGCGGGACCAAGCAATAACCGAGGCTGTTGATATGATCTGCCTTCTGGAGAATAAAGTGGCCCAGTTGGAAGCTGGTGAAAATCCATCGACACCTTCTACCACTCGCGGGTTCGAAGACGACGACCCCGGTGCTACGACTCCCAGGCAGAATACCGCGTTTGCCGCTATTGACATCCCGGAGAGAACATCCTCGTGGCGGGGTACTTCCCGTTCGAAGCATCGGCGGTCATCTTCGGATTCGCATCAGCTCAAGCGAGCCCCCTCATTGTTGTCCGATCACAAGAGCCCCACAACACTGCAGACTACCTCATCTACTGCCGACGACCGGTCTCGTTCAGCATTGAGTGACATGACAAAATCAGAAAGTCTGCAATCTATGAGTGATTTCCTCGAGCCCGAGTCCCCAAGACTTAGTGCTCTGAGCGAATGCAGCGAATTGTACCCGCACGAAGAAGAAGCAAGCGATCGGTTGGATATCCCGGTCAAAGAGCGAGACTCATCAGGGGTCTCGGAGGCTCCCAAAGGAACGGTTGAGGATTCCGCCAGTAAAAGCCTGATTGAATCGTGGATCCAGCCACAACGTGATGCCTTCCTGGAAGATGTGCCGGAGCAGGATATATTACCCTCAAATCTTCTCAGACAGACGGGTAAACCAAGCTTTGACAGCGACTCATACAATAGCTCGAGCCAGAAAACACGAGTGGATAGCGTGTTTGGAGGTTCGAGGTTACCCCCTACTCCAGACACCATGAGTACGGCCTACGCCACTGGTCCCAACCGGTCGAACGGAAGCATTGTTGCGGAAAAGAGTCTTGTTGATCAAGCTATGACGGCCGGACACGGTCGTCCGCGTTCTGCAGGACAACTTACAACGAGGCGTAACTCCACTAACAGTGCAGCGGTTGGTAGCGTGGACATGAATGTAAGTGATGTCACTTCACATCGACCTGACACCGATGAGGAAGAAGAATCGCCTACTTTCTTCCCCTTGAACAGCCTCACATCGCGGGATAAACGGCTATATTGCCCAGAAACCCTCGACAAGAAGAGCCTTGGATACATTGGCCAGAATGCATTCCTCAACGGGGAAGGTCTTGACAGGGTTCTTTCAAAACTCGATAATAGCTACTATGGCTCCATGGCACAGGATGAATCTGACAGCTCCTTGTCTTCATCGCCTCCTTTGACGCCCCAAGATTGGGTTGAGGCCTCTAAGCCGGATGCCAAACGTCGACGGGACAAGTCTGCTATGATGCCTGTTGTGCCTAAATCGAAAAACACCCGACCTCAGGAGACGCGAATCACCAGCCAGTCTTCTTTTATTGGTCGTCGGCACAGCATCGATTCCACCATCAGGGACTCGGACGTTCCCATGATTCCCACACTGGATATACAGTCGCTAGAGTCTGGTTTGCAGCCTGGGCCCGAACTAGATCGTCGGATGATCGGACGCAAGATTAGCATCCGCCCTCCTTTCTTTGCACGTTCGGCGCCCCCTCGTCGTCTCCAGCCCTCCCTAATGTTTGATGGTTCGGATTCAGACGATGGAGCTCCTGCTCCCATTATTCGTAAAGCACGCGATGACAATCCAGCCAAACCAACTAAGACGGTTTCCAAAGCCGAAAGCCATAGTTCCAGTTTCTCTGCGTCTGTGCCAATGCCTGCCGACGCTAAGCGTGGAGATATTCATCGAACATTGCCACACTCCTTTACCGAAACCGGCTTCATGAACAATGCAGTGGCCAAACCGCCGCAGCTCGATCCCAGAGACCACAAGCGACGCAGTTCCCTTGGAATCTTCAGCTGGGTGAAAGGAGCTAGCGGGCTTGGGAAGAAGCCGGAACCAGAGCTTCCAGTGAAGGCTAGCGCGCCCAGTACTGCCTTGGTGAAGAGCAGACCTCCTCGGGCGACCCCAGAGTCAGGAAAGAGTGCTTCTGACTCCGGTAGAACAATCGAGATGGGCGCGATGAAGGTTGCCATTGATGACATTGCCTCTAAATCCAAACATTCGAACCACGACGAAGAAACGGGCCGACGACCAAGGTACATGGACCGACGGGCTCGTCGTGGCTAAACCAGCAGATGTTTTATCCCGTTTACGAATTTCTTTCTTTACTTTCTGGTTTCCTTTGCATCTTTCCCGGGACTGTTTATGATCTATCACGATACCCCATGAGTTACATGTCTGATGACACGGATTTGTACCAGTATTGCATGCGCAGCAGAGAGTACCGCGTTATGACGTTTTATTTTTGGGCCATTAGAGGTGGTTGCTAATTCTTTGTTGCTTGCTATACACATGGTATCTGGCTGGCACATGATATCATTTTGTGCTTCTTGCTTTGGTGATTTTATCAATACCTGATGTTCTGATCGTTCGTTCTTCATGCAATTTCAAGCAGTGGTTCGTACCAACTAGTCGTTCCTGCGAAATTCCAGTACATTGTCCCTTCCATAATAGGTATTCCAATAAGTGATCTAACTGCTCTGCGCCACTGAGTAACTCCCATAACTTTCAAAATATGCAACACCATGCAAACCAAAAGCGAGCCCAAACATCTGTGACCCCGGATACACACCACATACTTTGTACCTACCACCAAGATACAATACCAAATAGGCACTATACTCTCCGACAGTAGAGCATGACATCCAAGACATGTTGTGAGAAAGGAAAATTGGCAATTTTAGCATCCAAAGAAAAAAGCCCTAGTTATAGTCATTTCATCATATGTTCAATGAGCAATTTATGAAGTAGACAAGTGGGGATGGGTTAGTTCAAGGCCATCATCTAGTAGTAAAGACCGTCTACCGAGATTCTAGAAAAGGGCTTTCCTGCCTGCTTCTTGATCTGATTATCATATTATATTATATCATTATATTATCTCTTTCTCCGATGCGAGATGATACATTTACTAGATGCAACAGATGATTATGTTTTGTTTGGTATGTTTCCAGATGATGGAATTAAGTGGGTAATACTAAGTACTAACTAGTTTCGTTAGACAACTATTTTCACAACTAATGATGCATTCATACTGATGATGATGATTGTTGTAATAGTAAGTACTTAGCAGTAGTTATAGTAATAATACTCCTCCTTAACGCCTGTCCTGCTTTGCTTTTTTCCGGCCTACCAGTTGTTGTCAATCTATATAGTTGTAATACCATGCAAGTATGTCATCCGCCATACCTTACCCAATGCACTCCACAAGAAAACCAGCCTATATATAACTCCCATACATGATACCTAAAACTCCAACATGAACAGAAGTCGGGAGGGGAGGAAGAGGAGATGAACAATCAATACCACCCCGTCCCGTCCTCTCCCCTCTTCTTCCCCTTCGGATTCATCGATATAATCCTCTGTCCGGGTAACGTATCATCCGCAATCGAAGCTTCAAAGATCCCCGAGATAGACCGCTTCCCCAGCATCTGAAACGAATCATACCCCTCCAATAACCCATTACACGCTGCCCATTCCTTTGACAGCCGCGGCGACTTCCCGTCACCTAGATCACACCACCTGGTGACCACAATTGCATGTCGGAAGTGCAAGGAGCGAGGATCCGTGCGATCCTCGGTCAATTTGATCTCGACGAGGTATTCGGACGGACACTCCGGACAGCGGCGCATTGGGCGACATTTCCCGCATAAAGTGGCAATCGAGTTAGGGTTATGAATGCGCCGCGCCATGAGGTCCTTCGCGCGGTGTTCGAGACCCTGTAGGGCGGAGGTGTCGCGGGGTTTGGGGATGTGCGTGAGGGCGCATTTGCAGACGTTCATGAGTTCGCCGTCGCGCCAGTGCGCGCATGCAGAGAAATACGGCCAGTAGTCTTCGCGGGAGTAGAGGAGGAGACGTTGTGAGCTGGGGGGTAGGTCTGGGTCTGCGAAGCGGGTGCTGATGACCCGCATCAGCAGGTGACCTTTGTGGATGTGGAAGCGGGTGTGGTGGGACCAGTCGTCGCGGCGCCAGCGGCGGGAGAGGGAATCCGGGGGAAGGCCGTAAGAGGGGGAGAAGTTGTGGGCGCGCATGACGAGTTGGACGAAGCTGAAGGGGAGGGTGCGGCCGTGGGTGATGCGGTGACGCGGGGGCGGGAGGAGGGAGTTGCGCATGTTGGGGCAGTTGAAGAGAGGGTTGACGACATGAGCGGGTTGGAGTTTCTCGTGGCCTTCTTGGGTGCGACGGTGGTAGCGGGCGCAGGGGAAGCAGAGGAGGTGATGGGGGAGGTAGCGGTCTTGGGAGACAAGGAAGTCGGATCGGTATTCGCGGTTGGAAGGGTCATTGAGGGCTTGCCAGGGTTGGAGCGGGGCGAGCTTGGAGAGGAGGGTTTTGCTGGCGAAGGCGAGACTGGCTTGGTCGGCGGGATTGAGATAGGAGCAGATCTCTGCCCAGAGAATTGGGGTAAGACTGGCGATTAAGGGCTCGCCTGGAGGACGGTTGTCGAACTCGTAGCGGTTGGCGTAGGGGTCTGAAGGGTCGATGTCCTGGACGCCGATGGCGTGCAGGAGTTCGGTGTGATCGCGGCTTTCACCGAGTTGGGTGTCTTTGTTGGCGTTGAGCTCTCGGTATTTGAGACGATGGGCCTCCAATGGCGCTATGGAGGGTAGCGGAGGGACATCTTCGCTGGTGGTGCTGGGCCGCTTGAAGCCGGCTCGGAGGTCTGGGGTGGATGCGCTGTAGCCCTTGCGTAGGACTTGTCGGGATTTCTTGGGCCGGAGGGCATTGGCGAAGAAGGCGCGGAAGCCGCGCCTTTCTCCCGGGCTGTCATCAGACATTGGGGAGAGGAGTGGAGGGTGAAACGGAGAAGATGGGAAGACGAAAAGAAGAAGAAGATGAAGATGAAGCCGGCGATGCAGCGAATGTGAAACATGATCGGCGTTGTATTACGTTTACCGGATGTTACGGAGCTGACATCCGCCACCTGCCGAGCTTCAGCCACTGTGGCTGATGAAGAACAAGAGTCTATTTCTTTACGGAGAGAAATGAAGGGAAGAGAGGAGAGTGCCATTAATACGGAGTTTGCATTAGGGCATCGGGTTGAGCCTGATTAGTTCCAAATCCATAGTACACATAATACGCAGATCCACAATCGCTAATCAAGCCGCGTCAATATACAGTTCATATCATAAGAAAAGCTTTACGCGGAGAAGCGCTTCTCCACGGCCTTCCAGTTGATGACCTCCCAGATGGCCTTGAAGTACTCGGCCTTGCGGTTCTGGTATTGGAGGCTAGAAAATGATGTTAGCTTCTGGTAATCTTCACGGGTTAGGGCGGGTGCACTTACTAGTAGGCGTGCTCCCAGGCGTCAATACCCAGCAGGGGCTGGAACTGGCCGACAACGGGGTCCTGGTTCTGTGAAAAGGGTTAGCAAATCTGAAAGCTTTCTTCATACGTATGGTGCATTCTTACAGCGTAGGCCTTGATGCCAATGTGACCGGTCTGCTTGTCCTTGACGAGCCAGGCCCAGCCGCTACCCTGGATAGCAGCAAGAGTAGCGTTCATCTTGTTCTGGAACTCCTCCAGGCTGCCGTAGGTGTCGTTGATGGCAGTCGACAGGGCACCGGACGGGGGTTCACCACCGCCAGCGCTCTTGGGAGCAAGGTTCTCCCAGAAGAGGGTGTGGTTTAGGTGACCACCACCGTGGAAGTTGATCAGGGGCTTGAGAGCGATCTGAGCGGCAATGTCGTTCTTGTGCTGGGCCTCCTGGAGCTGCTCAATGGCAGTGTTGTAGCTGTTGACATAGGTCTGGTGGTGGTTCTTGTGGTGAAGCTCCATGATCTTGCCGGAGATGGAGGGCTCGAGAGCGCCATAGTCGTCTACAGGGAGTCAGTTCAGTCACTACAAGCTCTATATGTCTCTATAATCGCAGGGGAATGCATACAGGACAGGTCAGGGAGAGTAGCCTTGCCGCGGGCAAAAGTCAAGCCCGCCATGCCGGCAGTTCTGGGAGTAGCCGAAGCTCCGGCGCGCAGGGCCGTACGGGCAGAGGTGCGGACGAGGGAAGCAGCCATTGTGAGTGTTAATTAGAACAGAGCAAGATGCACTATTACAGTAGACCCGAGGGTGTTTAGGGGATGAGAGGAGAGTTGCTGAAGAGAAAAAGGGAGAAGAAGGAAGAAGGAGAGATGAAGAAGTTCAACGTCATAACGGCTTGTTTCTTCGGAGGGCGCATTTCCCCGCGCCGAAGTTTCCCGGCATTTGGATCCACCATCTTTTAGCTTCATCCATCCATACTCAATCACAATCTCCGTCATGCTGCCGGGCTTTCCCTCGCCTTCATCGCCGTGAATCTCGATCCCTTCCTTTGTGCCGCCCTTCGCCCTCCAGCCCGGCCATGGAGTCCCCCTCATCCTCGCCCTACGCCGGCCAAAAACGCAAGATCGCCGACATGAGCTCCGATGAAGAGGAAGAAGAAGATTACCGCCCAACCATGGGCTTCCGCGGGTTTGCTCGCGCGTCGTCTCGCTCCGAGTCGCCTCCATCTCACGGCGGGCTGGGAAGCGCCCGTCGTAACCCCCGCAATAATACCGCGCAGTCAGCGATGAAAGGTGGCGGCAACAATGCTAGCAAAGGAATGTCCGGAGGCAATTCCTTCGCCGCGCGCATGATGGCCAAGATGGGTTACGTCGAGGGACAGGGTTTGGGTTCATCCGGTCAAGGTATCGTCAACCCGATTGAAGCCCAGGCTCGTCCTACAGGTGCCGGTTTGGGTGCGGTCCGGGAGAAGACAAAACAAGCGCGGGAAGAGGAAAAGCGGGCAGCAGCTCTCCGGGGTGAATCCGTCGAGGACAGCTCTGATGAAGAGCGCAAGAGGCGACGGAAGAAGAAGGAGGAGCGCAAACGAGAGGGCCGGAGCGGGACAGGGACACCAGTGGCTCGCGCGAAGCCCCAGTTCCGGACTGCGCGCGAGATGGAAAAGGACATGGAGGGCTTGGAAGTTCCTAATGTGCTGAAGTCGCTGATCGATGCGACTGGGAAGGATCAGAAGGTGCTCACGTCTACAGCTGGTCTGATGACGCCGCAGACGTTCGTTACCCAAGGAGAAGGAGAAGCCTGGAAGATCGCGCAACGCGCCCGAAACGACCTAGAAGCGTTTGCGGACGAGTGGAAGGGTCTGACAGAGCGGAAGAAATACATCGAGCTAGAGGAGGCCCAAGTCGTGGAACAGCTAGATACAAATCAGCTCAAGGCCGACCAGCTGTCTGAGCTCGTCACAGCCATCGGACAGCTAGAGATCTTCCAGAAGGAAGACACTCGCGCGAAATTCGACGAAATCACCGACAAGCTGGAGTCCATGGAGATCAAGTACCGCAACGAGATTGATGAATACCGACTGCCAGAAACGGCCGTCGCAGCTCTTCATCCTCTTTTCCGTCAAGCTATGGAAGAATGGGAGCCCCTCAAGGACCCAACTTTCCTCGTATCCAACCTCCGTCGTCTCCAACCTCTGCTCCTCCGAAAAGCCAACACCGAACACACCCAGCGACAATCCACCTCCCCCTACGAGACCATGATCTATACTCTATGGCTACCCCGCGTGCGCTCCGCCCTCCTCAACGACTGGGACGTATACGAACCCGCCCCAGCAACCTCCCTCATCGTCGCCTGGAAAGAGCTCCTCCCCTCCTTCGTCTACACCAACGTCCTCGACCAACTCGTCGTCCCCAAGCTCACGAACGGCCTCAAAGACTGGAAACCCCGAAGCAGCAGTCGCCGCCACCACACCTCATCCACCAACAACTCCCGCTTTCCCTGGTGGCTCTTCACCTGGCTCCAATACCTCGACGAGCGACACACCAACCCCAAGCAACCCACGGGCCTCCTCTCCGACGCGAAGCGCAAATTCCGCGTCGTCCTAGACAGCTGGGACCTCAACAAGGGACTAATCAACGGCATCGAACTCTGGCGCGACGCCCTCGGCTCCGAATTCGACACCTGTCTCCGCAACCACCTCCTCCCGCGCCTCGGCCGCCACCTCCGCGAAGACTTCGAAGTCAACCCACAAGACCAAGACCTCACAGCCCTCGAGAACGTCCTGAAATGGAAAGACTTCTTCAAACCAAACGTCATGGGTCTTCTCCTCGTCGCCGAATTCTTCCCCAAATGGCACAACATCCTCTACATCTGGCTCACCAACGACCCCAACTACGAAGAAGTCGCCGAATGGTTCACCTGGTGGCGCACCCAAATTCCTGCCGATATCAACGACCTCACCATCGTCGACGACGAATGGAACAAGGGTCTCCAAACTATGGACCTCGCCTCCCAGCTCGGCGATCGTGCCGCTACTGAACTTCCTCCTCCTTCTTCATCTGCCACCACCACCGCAACAACAAAACCCACAGACAAACCCGCCGCTGCTGCGCCAACAACAACAGCAGAACAACCCCGCAAACCCAAAATTATCGAAGAAGTCGCCTTCAAAGATATTCTCGAATCATGGTGCATGGAACAAGGCCTCATTATGCTGCCGTTGCGTGAAGCGCACCCGCAAAACGGTCAGCCTTTGTTCCGCATTACGGCTAGTGCGACGGGTAAGGGCGGTGTTGTGGCGTTTGTGCAGGGGGATGTGGTCTGGGTGCAGAATAAGAAGGCGAAGGAGATTTGGGAGCCTATGGGGTTGGAGGATCAGTTGGTTGAGAAGGCTGAGGGGAGGTAGATTGATAGATTTGTTTAGCATTGATCGGATATGTACTTTTTATTATCTCACTGGGTTGTGGGATGGATTATTTTTTCCCTTATTATTATATTGGTTTTGTGGGTTAGTTGTGATACCATACCATACTTACTACATACTATTACTATGAATCTTATGCTTCATGTTGGGGCAGGTCAACTACTATTGCTACTCTTTTGCTGGACTGTAGAAGGCATGTGTGATGCCGATGTATGTATGTTTATCGAGTAAGTTCGCGTAGTCATTCTGGCTACAATTACGCTCAATATGAAGTAAGGAAAAGTCTTGTTCATCATCAGACGTCATTCCTATTATATCTATCTGAAATATCAATGACATGAATATGTATAAGGTAAGTACCGTGCAGCTATATATACCGATAATGTACCTGATGTGGAATCCAGGTATCCCCAGAGAAATTTGAACCTGTGCCAGGCCGAACCCAGGACCCAAGTAGCCATGCCGTAACCCCGAGTGCAAAGCAATGAGAAAATCAAGACGCTAAATCGCTGAATCAAATGTTGAAAAAGACAAAGCCACCGTTCTATGACGTGGGTTTAAGAAGAATACTATGCACCGTTCTGTCCTTCTTCTTCTTCTTCTTCTTCCGAATCATTCGTGTCGAGCCAGCCACGCGACATCTCGACGGCCTTGGACCACTGACGGTACATCTTCTTGCTCTGCACTGGGGAGGCATGGGGAAGGAAGGTCGTGCGGTTGGCCCGGTTCATGTCCTTGAGCTCGCTGAAATCCTTCCAGATGTTGACCGCGAAGCCAGCTGCGATGGCGGCTCCCAGCGCCGTCGTCTCGTGCATGGCCGGGCGTTCAACGGGGATTTGAATAATATCGGCTTGAGTCTAAGAGGGGGGCATTAGTCTCCGTTGATCAGGTGACAAGAATCGTGTAAGTAACCTACCTGCATGCAGATATCGGAATTGCTCATACCGCCATCGACGGCCAATTCCGACAACTTGTGACCGCTGTCCATCTCCATGGCATCCAAGATGGCCTTGGTCTGGAAGCAGGCAGCTTCCATTGTGGCACGTGCAATGTGTCCACGCTGAGTGTGCTGAGTGATACCAACTGAATTAAAGTCAG